TGACATTTGCTTTCCTCCAGTCCTCAGGCACCTCTCCCGTTTCCCAAGACTTGGTAAAGATGATGGAGAGTGGTCTAGCAATGACTTCCGCCAGTTCCCTCAGCACCCGCAGGTGCATCCCATCTGGACCCATGGATTTATGGATGTCCAGATTGCTCAACTGATCTCTAACCCATTCCTCATCGACTAAGGCAAACCGCTCCGTTGACCTGACTTCATCTAAGGTCTCAGGGGTACAGGGCTCTTCAGGACTGCCTGCAGCAGAGTAGACAGAGACAAAGAAGGCATTCAGTAACTCTGCCATCTCTGTATCTTCTGTCACCAGGGCACCCATCCCGTTCATCAGTGGGCCTACATTGCCTCTGGTGTTAGTTTTGTCTGCCATATATTTGAAAAAGCTCTTTTTGCTGTCCTTGACCCTTCTCGCCAGGTTTAATTCTAAGGAGGTCTTAGTCCTCCTATCTGCCTTCCTACATCCTCTAGCAGCAGCTTTATATTCCTCCCAAGTGGCCAGCCCCTCCTTCCATGACCTGTAAACTCTCCTCTTCCACTTGAGCATACCCAGCAATTCCCTATTTAGCCACGCAGGTCTCCTGGCCTTCTTCCTTGACTTCCTACGTGTCGGGATGCTCCGATCTTGAGCACGGAAAAAGCAATCCTTGAATGCCAACCAACTATCTTGGGCCCCTTTACCTTCAAGCAGCCTTGCCCATGGGATTTCCCTTAGCAATTGCTTGAAAAGGCCAAAGTTTGCCCTGCTAAAGTCCAGGGTTGCAATTCTACTTGGTATTCTACTAGTCCTACCACACAAGATCCTGAACTTCACCATCTCGTGGTCACTGCAACCAAGGCAGCCCTCAACCCTTACTGCTTCGACCAGACCCTCCTTGTTAGCGAGGATGAGATCCAGCAGCGCTCCTCTCCTGGTTGGCTCATCCACCATTTGCAGGAGGAAGTTATCATCCACACACTGGAGGAACCTCCTGGACTGTGGCTGGGTTGCTGAGTGGTCCTTCCAGCAAACATCAGGGAAGTTAAAATCCCCCACGACGACCACAGCCTGTGACTGTGAGGCCACTCTCAGCTGCCTGTAGAAGGCCTCGTCAACTTCCTCACCCTGATCTGGTGGTCTGTAACAGACACCCACAACAGTATCCCCCCTGCCAGCCTGCCCCTTAATTCTCACCCACAGACTCTCAACTCGCTCGTCATCTGTCCCCGGACAGAACTCGGTGCATTGTAGTTGCTCCCGCACATAAAGAGCAACCCCACCACCCCTCCTGGCTGGCCTGTCTTTCCTGAAAAGGACATAGCCCTCCATGACTATATTCCAGTCATGTGAGCTGTCCCACCACGTCTCTGTAATTGACACCAGATCATAGTCTCCTGACTTAACACAGGTTTCCAACTCCTCCTGTTTATTTCCCATGCTGCGCGCATTGGTGTACAGACATTCCAGGGACCGAGCTGAGCACACCGATTTCACCCTAGGATTATAGGAGGCCTCCCAGTCTTCATCAATTCTGGAGTGCTGCCCCACTGGGGCAAGCCCAGCTACAACCCTATCCCCCTTCAAATCTAGTGTAAAGCTCTCCAAATGAGCCCTGCTAATTCGTGCCTCAGCATCCTTTTGCCTCTGTGAGATAAACCTTTCCCACTTGTCATTGTCCAGACTGGTGCCCTATAAAACCAGCTGTTATCAAAGAATCCAAAGCCCTGCCTGTAGCACCAGTCTCGAAGCCAATCGTTTATGAACTGAATCTTCCCATTCCTTCCCACATCATCAGTGGAAAATGGAAGGAGTGAGAAGATCACTTGAGCCCCAGACTCTTTCACCATCCGCCCCAAGGTAATCTATCAATAATCAGTTTTCATTCAAGTGTAATGGTATTAGACATGAACCCACTGCTGAGTCATGGCATGCTCATGACAGTGAGAAATAGGCACAGCTCACGTGCAAGTCTGTCAAACTGCTTCTGAAAAAGTTCAAAATGCCACACTTAAGAAAGGGAATCCTTTGGCCCCTTTTCTCCCATAGCTTAAAACATAAGAAGATAAACAAATGCTATCTCTGCTTACTTCTCCTGTAGATCTTAGAATGGTAGTACTGTGGTAAAAAATTTAAAGTACACACACATGAGAAAAGCAAATCTCAAGTCCTTCTTAAAATATTTATGCAGAGCTCAGGAGATCTCAGTCATCTCATGAGCTGCATCCCACATTAAAGGTGATTTTCCCAAAGCCTGGACTTCAGAAAGTTTTTCCTCTCAGACCATACTCATACATAAGTATGAAATGTGATACTTTACTTTAAACCTGATTCTGTACTGTCTTACCTGGCTACAACTCATGAGTCAGAAATAAAGAGCAGCTCAGAGACGGGGGATTAAATTAGTTGGAGCAACATTAGATTAAGTGGTAGCATGTAATCAGACCAGAGGATAAATCAAGAACTTCTATACAGCCAGTAATAGAGAAGTGCCTAATGCTCACAAAATATGTGCACATTTCACAAACAAAACTGGACAACCTTGGTTAACGTTGCTGTGTAGCTGAAGTGACTGTGCATACACTGTGAGCAACCTGCATATCAAGTGCCTCTCTTGTAGCCATACCCCTCTCCCTCTCCTGAGAAAACAAATTTACCCAAAATAGGAAACTATAAAATTTGAATTGTAGCATTCAGATGCCGCATTGGTACAACTGATCTTGCATCACAAAGCCTGTGGGGACATAATATGTTTCAATGTAAAAAGAAACAAAAAAACATTGAAAGTTTGACTCCTGGAGAACTCCGACCTGCATTACTTTCAAAGTGATCAAATTCTACATTATTTCTGGAAAGCATTACTTATTCAACAACGTAGCAACTGGTTTTGCTAAGATCTGGCAGGGCAAGGAAGGAATAAAACAAGCAAGTCCCAAGAGGCAACAGATTCTACTAGAAGACATAAACAAAGATAAACTATAGGTTTTACTGTGTATCTGAATTACTTTGGTATTGAACAGCATGCACATCTTGCATTTCCTTCTACTGGCTTCAGACCTATGCTATAATTTGATTAAGCCAGTTCTCTAAGGCTTTCCTGTTTTTCAGAAGAAAGAAATTTGTGTTCTGCAGCAGAATATCAATGAAATCGTACTACACCACCCTAGCAATTGGAACTGTATCAACATAATAATCCATGCAGTGATAACTGAAGTCACAGTTAAGTATTTAACCTTGTGAACTATCAAATGAACATAGCAAGTGATAGAAAAATTGAGGACAAGAAACTGCTTTCCCAGCTCCCCCCTCCCCTCCCATGTAAATTAGAGCAATTTGCTTTCCTTTTCATACTGCTGCCATGAAAACAAGAAATACTGCACATTTTCTTTTGTAATAAGGAATTCTGAACCTTCAGACTACTCTCTGTCTCAGTCTAGGCCCCTAAAAGTAAATGGCCACAGCAAGAAACAGCTCTATGCCTTTAAAAGCATTCATACATCTTTCCTTGCTGTGAGGACAGTACTTAGTGCCCCCAAAGCTCAGGCCATCACATCAATTCTATATTGCCCTCCTCAACAAATATTTCTGGACTGACAGGTAGGAACTAAGAATGACACACCCCAAAGCCTTTCCCATGAGCAGAATTGAGAAATGCAGTTTTACCTTTTAACAGGCAAATGATAATGCAATAGAAAAATATATAGTCAAAGACAGCAGAAAAATAGGTGCCTCATTCCCTGCAAACTAACTTTCATGAAAGCAGGCAGCAGAAACCTGGGTCAGCGCACTGCACTGCTGATGAGTCACAATTCATTCGATCAAACTGTTTTGCCTCTGCCTTTATAAACATTTGCAGAACAACTGCATAATTAGCTGATTTCCCCTTTGTACGTTTTTTTGCCAACTGAAATAATTTCAGATTTCCTTTGTCTGAGGTTTTATGGCCTTGGGATATTAAAGTACATTCAGCCGTGTTAGACAAGTCACTTTAGCCCTCTCCTGTCACTGTGTAATAATCATAACACTTAAATCATAGTAGAAAGCATTCAGTGTAGTTCCACAAGATGCACTACATTACACTACAGTGAAAGGCTGTAACAGACTGATTACCAGAAATCACCGTTCCTCAGTACATAGTCTCCAAGCTTACAGCTGTGCTTTGCCATGCAAGGCTGAAATCAGCTCTTCCTTGCAAACTCCATAGCAGATACTTTTGCCCCTTTCTTCTCCTGCTTTGTATAAAATATCAGGACAAAACCATTCTGCTGCTCCTCAGTGTAGATTTGTAATTTAGATTCTTCCTACTCCTTCCCTCCCACCAAGAATGAAAAACCTGGGTACCAGTGTAATTGCAGACTACACATCCCAAATAACATCTAACTTCTCTTCAAGTCAGACACTATAGTCCAGCAAATGTGCCTAGTAAATCAATGCCTAATAAAATGTCACAGGCTTTGTATTTACCTGAAATTGTAGGATCTCAGCACTTCTCTTGTCCTGAAGTAACTTTAGTTGTGGTAACAAAAGTCTAAAAGTAAGGTGGCAATTCCCAAGCCTGTTTTAGCTTCATTCTATGGGTATCATACATGCAAAAGTCTGACAAACTTACACAGCCATTGCTTAACAGTCTGTATGTCAAATGGTGCCAGGAGGGGTTAACTACGAATTTTGACTAATTTTTAAAGGGTGAAACTGGTAAAATTTTACCTGGGAAACAAAACACAGACCAAGTAAGCAGACTGCAACAAAATATGAAGTGCTGTAACCATGTCAGAAAAGGAAAACGTCACGGAAGTAGCAGCAGTACCTCACTGCATATCAGCAAAGAGAAGGGGAGAACTTGCCTAACCTTCCAAGGAAAAGCCATGCAACAATACCATGGGTTTCTGAGCTTTCATCAGATGGCATAGAAAAGTGTAAAAGAAGCCTGACTGAAAATCTCCTTTCCCATCTCACTATAAATTAATGAGGTCTAATCAGATTTAACCAAGCTAGCCAGACCAACTATCCCTAGAATCAGAGACAGTCTCTATGACACATTCAAGTAAGCAGCTCCTACAGATACTTCATCCAAGGTTTGGACACACAGAAGTGGTGAAACTTCACTGCCAAGTAGGTGACTTCTGAAACCCCTCCTAAATCAGAGAGGTTAGGAAAAATTATGGTTATTTGCAAAGGCTTATACCAGCAAGTGTTCAGTAAGAACACACTTATGTAGTTTCGTCTTCACATCACAAGTTAAATAAAAAACTCATCAAGGGCTGCATTTGTGTTAATGAACAAGCAACTTGTTATATTTGCTTGTGTCCTATTCAACTTCAAAAAAATACACATTCAAGGCTGAGGTGCAGAACATTGGTATCATCATCACACTCAATCTGCATCAGTTTGATGTATTCAGCTTTATGCCTACTCAGCACACATAATGGACACTTGGGAACCATGGCTCATTTGAGAAGCCACTTGCACACCGCTTCCAACACCAGTAGCAAAAGCCACATAGGCTCAAAAAGAATGCATATATTAAGTTCATCAATCTGAGCATCTTAACTAGTACATATATTCCCCTTAACAGTAGTGACCCGTGTTTTATCCCATTTTCCATGCTAAAGTTTTCCGATTCTTATAAAACTTTTTCATAATTTTTACTAACTACATTAAGCCACTTAGCTACACGTTTCACAAACCTTTGTCTGCTTTCAGATAACTGGTATATTTAATTTATTTTAGTGACTATATATCTCCATATCCTGGGGCTCTGTTCACTCTTTAAAAGGTGAACTCAAAGCCAAAAATTTCAGCTCAAAAACAAATCAGATTTTTAGGATTTTGTCTCTGGTGAAATTTCCAATCCTTTTGTTTCACATCCTCTGGAATGTTTCAAATCATAGGCCCACACAGTGTCTATTCCCTCTCCAGTAGTATGATCTGGGATCCAGCAAGGGAAAGGAAAACGACAGGCAATGATTCTGGCATTACATTCCAGTTCTTCTTCCAGCTTCTTCTCCAACTGTGGCATCTGTTGAATAACAAGAAAAAGCTTTCAGAAGCAGTAAAAACCAGAACCATTCTCTTTAGAATCTAGTTCAAGTATTTAAGAGAAGTCCAAGATTTGAAGAATTTTTGGAAAAGAAATGTAGGAAAGTATTCATGACATACATTTTGCCTTTGATGCATTGACAAAGAGTATCTGAAACTAGAAAATGGTTATTGTGCCCTGATTGGCAAGATCAAGAAAACTGTAGCTCTAACTTCTAAAAAGTCTATCAAAACCCCATAAATAAGCCCTTAGATAACCACACATTAAGTAAAGACTTTGCATGTCCCAATTTATCATTCTCTTCAGTGGGATTCTCTGTAGGGAGAAGAATTTGTGATACCCCAAGTCACATGAACTTGTGTGTGATACTCAAAGGCCAATGCATCTTGTAGTTTCCAGTCTAACCCCCCAGGCATATCCTGGGACACTCAAAAAGTTACATAGCCAACAACCCAAAGCAATTACACTGCTGCCACTGTATGGCAAAGTACTGGCATGTTAAATACTATCGAACTTGAACTTTGTAGGGTCTAGCCTGTTAATATATACATGTAAGTTGCTGCACTGCATGAAACAGCATATAGAATCATAGGATGGTTTAGTTGGAAGGGACCTCTAATGGTTATGTAGTTCCAATCACCTTGCCATGAGCAGGGACATCTTCAGCTACACCAGGTTGCTCAGAACCACATCCAGCCTCGCCTTGAATGTCTCCAGCGACAGCACATCTACCACCTCTCTTGGAAACCTGTTCCAGTGTTTCACCACCCTCACTGCAAAACAATTATTCCTCATAGCTATTCTAAATCTACCTTCTTTCAGTTTAAAGACATTCCCCCTTGTCCTATCACTACATCCCCTATTAAAAACTTTGTCCCCATCTTTCTTATAAGCCCCTTTTAGGTAATGGAAGGCTACTACAACTGATCTCCCTGGACCCTTCCCTTCTCCAGGCTGAACAATCCCAAATCTCTCAGCCTTTCTTTGTAGGAGAGGTGTTTCATCCCTCTGATCATCTTCGTGGCCCTCCTCTGGACTCACTCGAGGAGGTCCACATCCTTCTTACATTAGGGGTCCCAGAGCTGGACACAGTATTCCAGGTTGGGATCTCACCAGAGCAGAGCAGTGGTGGAAAATAACCTCCCTCGACCTGCTGGTCACGCTTTTTGATGTGGCTCAGTATATGGTTGGGTTTCTGGGCTATGAGCACACACTGTTGGCTCACATCCAGCTTTTCATTCACCAGTACCCCTAAGTCCTTCCAGAAGGGTTCTCAATCCCTTTACCCCCAGCCTCTACTGATACTGAGGATTGCCTCAACCCAAGTGCAGGACATTGCACTTGGCCTTGTTGAACCTCTTGAGGTTCACATGGGCCCACTTACTGAGCTTGTCCAGGTCCCTCTGGATGGCATCCCACACCTCAGCTGTGTCAACTGTACCAGTCAACTTGGTGGCATCTACAAACTTGCTGAGGGTGCACTTGATCCTGCTGTCTGTGCCACTGATAAAGATATTAAACAGTACTGGTTCTAATAAGGGTTCCTGAGGAATATCCCTCATAACTGATCTCCAGCTGAACACTGAGCTGTTGACCAGTTGCTACTACCCTACCAATACCCTCTCCACTGAACAGCCCATCCACCAAATCCATACCTCCCCAATTCAGAAAGAAGGATGCAATGATGCTGTGGTAGACTGTGTCAAAATACCACTACACAACTCCTGCTGGTTGAAGACCTGTAGTCTAGCTTTCCTCCATTTGCAAAAATTGAGCAGATACAAAACAAAAGGAAATATCATTACTCTTCCAAAGAGAAACACCCATCCCAGTCAGATACTCTGTCTCCAATACTTAATTTGCAAATTCTGCTATGGATTAAGTGAGAAATAAATTAACACATCTAGACTTCAGAGAAATTGCTTGTCCATGCCAGATATTAATTATGTTCGGGGGGGGGGAGGGGGTAGAAAAAAGAAAAAGAAGAGGAAAAAAAAGGGGGGGGGGAACTTAGCCATTTTTGTCCTTTGGAAAAAAATGACATTATGTTTTATCTGATCAGTGCACACCCATTTGGAATTCCTTTATTTCTTACATACTGTATCTATCTCAGGGAGTTAATAACAGCAGCAAGCGCCACAGGTTACTTCTATTACATGGAAAAGCCTATTTACTTGATATCTAAATGTCATGATATCAAAAGGTTAAAAGGACAGCAATTATTTACAAATACAAATCAATATAAGTCACAAAGGACACAAAACATATGAAAATTTCACAAAAAGAAAAAAAAGCAACAGAACATTATTAGAAAACAAGACTGACTGAAGAAAATGTATTTCCCAAGGCTGCAGATAGCTTCCACTATCATATATGCACACAGGGTGCCTTTGATGTAACATCCTATTACAGCTACATTTAAGCCTACAACAAAGTACTTTAGGAAAATTATAGTCATAGATCTAAGACATCAGAGAGTTACCTATGGATATTTTTGAGCATTCTATGCTCTGATTTAATCCATACACCAGATACTTTAAAATATTTTTGCTACTGCACTTTAAAATAAGCCCACTTCAGAATCTCAAACCAAGCTGAGACTCTGGAAAATGAAGGACTAAATTATTACAGAAATTACAAATACAGATATAGCCTATTTTTTAATGAGTAATTATAAAAATTAGTGACACTGTAGGTCTACATTAGCTCAAATTACAAAACATCATTAATACTCAGGCAAAAAAGAATCATACCCTTGAACTAAACAGTCAAACTAGTTTTTAAGCTAAATCAGTAACATTAGGTGTTACAATCATACTGTATCTTTCACCAAGTCAGGTCGGGGGCTTTTTGTATGTCTACACAGATATACAGCTTACTAAACCTTCTGTACAGTATATAATCAGTTAAAATACAGAGAACCTGAGAACATGCACACCTGGTAAGATTTCTGTCATCCCACCCTGAGTAAGGAAAAGCCCCTGCAATTACTCATAAACCCACCTTTCCCCACACATTTGCAAAAACAAGAGAGGTCTTAGTTTTCTCTGAAAATCAATAACTCCGCATTCTGTAAGCAAATCTTGGATATGAAATAAAAGCACTGCTTAACAGTATCAAATCAGAGCAGTATTATTAAAAAAGCTGAAGAAACCTTTTGCCCTCAGTAAAAACTAAAAAATGCATTAGAGTTTCTAGAAAATCAATTTAATCATTCAGGTAGCTAGGCATTCACAACTTCCAAAGTAAATTTAAAGGGGATCATGAGCAACCAAATGCTCAGGAAATGCAGTAGTTCATATGTTTGGATCTATCACATTTATGACAGTATTTTTATTGGAAGAATTTAGCCCAGTATTTACTGAATTTACTGACATTATTCTGAGCCCTAGAGCTACTCTTTCTATCACACCTGTTACTAATTTATCCCACTTTATACTATTACATTTAAAGTTAAGCCAGTATTTCTGCTGGGTTTACTCACATTTTCCCAAGGCACTTGTTTATTTCTAGTTTAGTGAAATTTCTTTCTTCACCTGCACTTTTCCCCTTAGTGCAACTGCAGAACTTCTGATTGCAAATTCAAATATTTATACTGCCCCCTCCCGGAACTCGAGCTAGAGAGCACTTAATATCCAAACCTGGCAACATCCGTAGCACAAGTAACGTAACAGTTCCCACCGATATGCCACCACAAAAGTAGGGAAAAAGAAAAATAACTATTTTCACTTCAGTTTCCAACATGTGTTACGATTTAAATCTGAAGTACGTATCTTAATTCCAATGCTGGTAAAGAAAAAGCAGAGAATAGTGAAGCTTTATTATGCTTCTTGTTGCATCTTTATGCTACTGCTACAGAAATATTATTGGTGTACGTTGTACAGTATAGCATAAAACTCTTCACTCATTTCATCCCACATTAGCCTTAGCAGAGGAAGAAGCAACACAAAAACATCTATAGGATATTTCTGTTTCATTTCTCCTTCTGCATTCAACCTATGTACAAGATTCCAGTAAAAAAATCAAAGTACCAAGAATATTTTCAATATTTAAGAAATTTTCCTCTTTCATAGTAAAAAATAAAAAACCAGCAACAAAAAACCTACATCATCTGACCAAATTTATCGAATGTATTAGTAAAGCAGTCAGTGCAACTCAGTTGCTACACCAGTTTTGAAGAACACTTTTGCCCCAGGGATCCAATGAACATAGGCTTATAAAGCCTTCCTAAAAGGCAAAGAATTTGTGGACTTGTTCTCTAAGCAATTATACTTGAAATATTGCTAAATTTTCACAGTCTAACATGGGCAAGAGTTTATCACAATATATCTGCTGCTGGTCTAATTGAGGTAATCTGGGTTTTGGAGATTATGGGCAAAATTCAATAGTCTCCTCTAAGAAGGTTCCCAAAAATAAGCTGTAGCCAATATCCTATTCCATCCTCTCCCTGCAAGCTCCTCATTTTTTCAGTATGAAAAACTAAAATTGTCAAGAATCAATCTATCACCTTCCCTCCAAGCAACTTAAGCACATCAGTTTTCATTTTGGTTATGAACTAATGGACAGAAAAAAAAAATGCCTATTTTCAGAGCTCCAGTCTGCATAGTCACAAGTTTTATCAGGTTTTATCATGGACATTAATAAGCAACAATGAAGTATCAAAATATTAGTACTAACTACCTTTGACATTTTACAGGTTGCTTCATTTTGCAGATAAATATACTAACACTGAATGCCTCAGTATTAAAATAATTAAAAAATGCAAAAAAACTTACCATTTGAGGCACCCCAAAAACAACGACATTTGTATAACAGGAAAAAGAAACCTAAAATAAAATTTGAGAACAAGTCTTGATGAAAATGGCGTCTGTATTTGGAGAAGCTCTCACCATTCTTTACCCTAATCCCTGTAGCTGCACTACTTTCACCAGGGATTTAGACCAAAAATTAGAAAGGATGTCCTGTATCAACTTGTCATCACACAAATTTCTAAACATACAACTTTATACTGCTGAACAGCAAAAAACTTTTACCACCTGGCCAAGAATACAGCACTAATTCTAGTAGCATAGAAAGTGTTAATTTAGAACATGATTTTACTCATGGCTTAGTTTTTCCACAGCTCCTGTATGTTAAAATTATGTATGTTTCAAGTTTGCCCACCCCTCTTTTGTTAAACGTTAGCTAGCTACAAGAACTTGCCAAGCATGCCAATGCCTAAGTTCTCCCACTCAGTGCCATGAAGTTTTCCAATGCTCCCTTCTGAAAAAAGGAAAAATAATACACTAGCACTTTTCCTCCAAATTCCTACTATCCACATAAACATGACCCAAGAAGGCACACCACATTGAAAAAGCAATTGTGACTCAAATGATTGTAAACTGTGAAAAAAATCTGTCACATGTAAGCTACCTTAAAGCAACACTCAAAACCAGGTAAAACACTACACAGCTGGAAAAGGACAAACATCTAATGAAATGTCAGATGAAATTGTGATCTCACACATTAGGTGAATAAAGGCTTCTTACTGAGCCCACAGTATCAGCTCTCAGCAATACCTGACATTACAGCACCCCACATCAGTCATCAGGCACAATCATGCCACAGTACGTTCAAGGAGTCTGTACTGAAAAAGGACAGCACTTCACCAAAGCACAAAATCAGCAGAGAAGCTAATTGTCCTGCGAGTTTAGTTTCTACAGGCTCAAGTACTTTTCTCAAAGCCCAGTACAGCATCTTGTGGCCAGTCAGTATTCTGGTTCTTTCAAGAAAGTATTTCTAAACTATGGAAATCTCCCAAATAGACCATTTTTTTTCTTATGTATTTCACCACCTACCTTCCATAAGTCTGAAATATAAAATCTGGTGTTGTGATGTACCCCATCTCTCCAGGCACGGTATCTGGAGTACCAGACCAGCCAGGGATTTAATTCATAGCCAACAGCTTTGAAACCCATTTTTGCAGCTGCTATCACCTACAAGGAAGAAAGTAAATCTTCACTTAGAAGCAGAAAAAGTGTATTCACATATAGTTTTATTGACAATATAAATCAAAGGAATGCATTTTGTATTTCATACAGATTTTAATTCCCAAGAGATTAGCAGTATAGCGAACAAAAACTCAAATTACATTTTAGTATTATGACTAGTCCCATTGAAATTAATAGATACATTCACATGAACAAAATGAACCACTTAAACATTCACAGGGCAAAGCTATAAGCCTGTAGTACGTCTATGATTCGCGTAAGAGTTTAATTTAACATATTCATAACACTGCCTTGGAGTTGGAATACTGAAATTGGCCATAGAGAAAACAGTGAAATACACAAACGGAAAAGCTCAAAGTGAGACTACTTATTTGAAAAGCAGTGATGGGTAGGCATTTGAGAGACCCCTGAATCTGAGACAAAATGACCCACCAATAAAAAGAGCTTGAAAATAAACTGCTGACCTACATTTTAAAAAGGTAAAATTTAAATGTAGGATTAAAAAAAAAAAATAAAATTGAAAAAGAAACCCCACATACAAATCTCATAGTAGAGCTTTCATCCACTGCTAAGCTTCATATATCATCTTAAAAGGCAAAAGGTAATTCAGATAAATAGATTTTTAAAGACATTCCCCTAAATTAGACCCTAAAATTTATAATTGTTAAGCTGTATTGCCAAGTGTCTTCAAACAAGATCAAAACCTATTGAGATTTTAGAAAAAGTTTCTATTCTCATAGAAACATCACCATTACCTAGAATTAAGACTTAAGTCATAATTTAAAAGGCTACTGCCAGGTTCTCACCAGGAGAAGCCTGATGAACTATGAATTACAGAACAGACAAGGTGCAATCAGGACGTACACATCTCAAACAGCATTACCTGGACAGTGTGTTTCACACTATTAAAATAGCACATCTTTCATAATGCACACAGCACATGCAAATACACTAAAACAAAAACTGACATTTTTACCAAGCTTGGAAATAAAAATATGATCATATTTATCCACTGATCACACCAAAGCACCAACTATTTAAAAACTCCTGAACAGAAGGCTCAGCTTTTTTTAGGACAGACACATTAAGGCCACACCAAGTATTCAATTTTAGGCCTGGCTCTCCAAGCCGTTTTCAGACTCCATTTAAGCACACAAACACAAAAAAAAAATATATATACATATAAAAATCAGAATTAAACACAGAGTGCCTATGTAATTAGATGCCTCAAGTGAGTGTCAAGTCAGACTGCTGAGAAGAGACAGCATCAAAAACTGCAGCTCGTATACCTACATGCTCTTCTCTGTTTTCCTATTTGGGTACAATTCCTTCTAAGCCACCTTAACAGATTTGGATTTCCAAATCAAATACTTTTAGCGTTGAGAAACGGTCGATTCACTCACATGAACTATGGATGAAGGCAGCATTCAAGAGCTTACTCATTTCCATCAAAAACCCACTTCACGCACCATCCTATTACTAAACCTGACTTGAAACAGATGGTTATGGCTCACAAAACATCACAACTACAAAAAAAAGACACCATTCTCTACTACATCCTCACCACCACTTTTCCAAATCAGAGTTCAAACAATGTCCTGGAAGCACAGTATTGATTTTACTGTAGCGATTCTCACCATTTCTCTTGGGAATTCTTCTAGTTTCACATTGATTTTTTAAGCAGGGTAGCCAGCACTGCACAAAGGTGTGAAAAACACAACACTAATGATACCAGGATTGTTATTTATGTAATCCACTGCTCATCTCTCATTCTTTGTTCCTCTGTCACCATTATACAATAAGCATAGAGCTGCAGCTCCAAAAGCATAGTGCTGTTTAATCTCAAACCCTCACATGCTGCAGCTATAAACTTGGGTAGAATCACAGCTCTTTGGCAATCACAATACCAATACTTCCACTGCATCTTTTCACACGAATTCAAAGCAATCCCCTCAAGCCAACAGGATGAGTTCATCATTTTATACACTGCATCGTCAAGCTGCAGGCAAGACTGGAGGAAAAAAAACACTGCTTACTCACCTAAACTGAATATAAACCCCTCTCGCTTTGAGCCTTTTTCTAAGGCTCCGACAAAAACACTGGATGCCAAAGACAAGACATTCATAAATATGAGAAAACAACAACAGCCATAGCTAGAGCATCTGACGCTTCTTTGAGAGGCAATATACCAGGAGAGTAATGCCCAAGACTTACAATACGGCCATCCCCGCTACCAATGTCAACGAGGGAGCCACTTCTGCTTTCTAACATTCTCAGCACATTCTGGATCTGGGTGGAAGTTGCAGGAACAAAGGGCAGGCACACTTTCCTGAGAGCCGGCGTCACGAAGGGTATGACCACAGCATAAAGAGCCACTAAGGTCCCACCAACACCAGCAGTGACCAACAGCCCCCGGCTCCTCCCTCTTGAGGAGCCCTTGCAGTCGTCCTGCGGGGCTGCTGCATGGCTCTCATTTGCTACCACCTTGGACATCACACCTAAAAAGAGACATTGAAGAGTAATTTCTCTAATGGCTTTATTACGCGTTTAAGATAAAGCGGTACTGGGATATCAGGAAGGAAAAAGACTAACTACTTACACCCCTTTAGGTGACACCAAGACTCTACTGAAAACGTCACTATTATTGCTTTTTAGAGGCTAAAGCGTTATTTTTCAAGCCATAAAACCGGTTTCCATGTAAGCCTGTAGTTCCCCCCACCCAGCCATGAAGCACAGCACCCCGGAACAGCTCAGGGACGGCGTGAGGAAAGACCTCCCCGCCACGGGCAGCCGGGAGTCCGCTTCCCTAACCGTCCCAGAGTAGTTATGGGTCTTCCCCCAGAAGTAACTTTTCTTCGTAGCACAACGCACCCCTTCACGAGCTACCACCGTCACCATCCGCCGAGGCTCCCGAGCCCCAACAAGCACCCCCTCTTAGCCGGCCGTATTTATAGGAGAGGGCAATACCACTTAGCCATGCGGGGGGGAGAAGGGACCGAAACCTTTTTGGATGGCGCCTCGCAGAGGAACGGCGCGTGCTCACTCTTCGGCCGCGTGACTGCCCCTACCACTTCACGTTAACGGAGTCACACGGTACCGCTCACTGCCACCGCGCTTGGCTCCCGTATTCTATTTCATATGGTATATCTCTCCGCCCCTTCCAGCACCTAGGGAACGGGGCCGCGAGCACTTCCGTTCTGAATGCTTCCAGAAAGTCCGCTGGAGGCGCCATATAGGTCCCGGCCACCAAATATGTCGCGCAGCTACTGGCCGCGCATGCGCGGAGTAGCGTGCGGGTGAGCGTGCTGCGTCACGGCGTGGCGGCATCCGGCTCGTGCTCGCCCGGTGTGTGGGAGCAGCAGGAGGAGTTGCAGCCATGTCGGCCATGGGGACTTTGGCGTTTGATGAGTATGGGCGCCCCTTCCTCATCCTCAAGGATCAGGAGCGGAAGACGCGCCTTATGGGGCTCGAGGCGCTTAAGGTGAGCGGGCCGCTGATCCGTCCGCGGGTCCTCACTGGGCGCCGCGCCATGCTGCCGTTAGGGGCGGGGAACGGGCGCCGTTAGGCCTCAGCGGGAGGATGGAGCTCGGTGGGGCGAGGCGGTGCGACTCTTCTGTCTCGTGTCAGGCGCACGTGGGCCTGCAGGTGAGGGAGGGACGGATGGGGACAGGGGCAGAGAAGGCATCCCCCCCGGCTCTGTGAATCCACCACCCGCGGCATGAGGTGTATGAGGTCTCCGTGGCTGCGGAGTCCTTTTCCCTGTAGTTTCGGCGCGCCCCTCCCAGCGCCTTCTGGGCGCGGCTGGCAGGGAGGCTCCTCGCAGCCTCCTCCTTTAGATCCCGCTTTTTTTCTCTCTCTGAAGCTTGCGTTGCTTTCTTCTGTTGTTTCGCCTTTTTAAGCTTCGGGGCTGTCGTGTCCTCTGCTTTGGCAAGCTATAGCGGTGCATGTGCAAGAAAAAGCACAGAAAATGTTTTTGATGTAAAAGCAATACATATATATTGACTTCTTTTTCAGTCGTAATTAACTTATGTCAGTTAAATTACAAAATTCGAGTTAGCAGCTTATTCCTATGTTTTTCTTAGCTTAATACTATGATTTTGGGATGCATAATAGTGACTTAATTTTTCCTTTGTTTTATAGTCTCACATAATGGCAGCAAAGGCTGTAGCAAGTACTCTGAGAACATCCCTTGGTCCCAATGGTAATAATAACTTTAATGCTTCCTTTTCATTAATTTTTTTTTTTCCTTTTTGTGCATTTTCTATGTTTTCTTTCATGCTGTGAATATATTTTTAGGCTTGGATAAAATGATGGTGGATAAAGATGGTGAGGTGACTGTGACAAATGATGGTGCTACCATCCTGAATATGATGGATGTGGACCACCAGATAGCCAAACTTATGGTGGAGCTGTCTAAGTCTCAAGATGATGAGATTGGGGATGGAACCACTGGAGTTGTTGGTAAGACAAGGTTTTAAATTTAAGTTAGCTTTTCCAGCTTTAACATCAAGCTTATTTAGTTATTTTAAGAAATTTTATGTGAAGTAACAGTAGCTTTTCTTTAGCACGTTGTTAGAGTATTTACTATTTCAGTATTCTTGTCAGTTCTTGTATTAGAAGCCTTGTGATAAGAAAGACTTTTGTGGTTACATTTTAAGTTGGTGTTGAGAGTCCTCTTTGTACTTTCAGAATTTTTTCTTCATGGTTTTCTTCAATAACCTTCTACTTGTCCTGTGGTGGCCATGTGGCTTTTTGGTCTAAGAGCATGCAGTTTTCTTTTTAAGCATAGCAAGTCCAGGGTTGTTTATGGTTATTTTGTCATTCAGGAAAGCTTGAACTGTTAAAATACTACAGTAAAAATTAGAAGGTGTACTCTTTAATCTTTTGATAATGTATTAAAGCTGATGCTGTGACCTGTGGAAGAGTAAACGTTATTATAAAATTTTGTTTTATAGTTCTGGCTGGAGCCTTATTGGAACAGGCTGAGCAATTGCTGGATCGTGGTATTCACCCCATCAGAATAGCAGATGGTTACGAGCAGGCAGCTCGCATTGCCATTGAGCATCTAGACAAAATCAGTGACAGCTTTACGGTTGATCCACAGAACACTGAACCGCTGATCCAGACAGCAAAGACAACCTTAGGCTCTAAAGTGTAAGTCACACAAACTTCAGAAAAATGTATCAGTTTCATTATAAATGCTTGAAAGGTGAAACCCTGGTGGTTTGACGGTTTATTAAATTGTTTGCATTATTGGAGTGGCTGCCAAAGGCTTTTTTTATGTTTGATTTTGGCTAATTTCCCAATGGACTTATGGCTCAGGATAAAAAAAATGTGCTTTTTCTCTAAAGGGACAGTTCTTTGAGGTTAAAGAGTGCAAAATTAATTTAATTCTAACCTGATAACTTCAGATTTCTTCATCATAGCAAATTCCAAGAGTAATGCAGACCTCTTAAAAATAATTGTGTGTTACATTTCAAAGGTTGGTTTTGGTTTTTTTCCTAATGTTAAAAAAAAAAAGTTTGTTAGATTGTTCTATAACCGCATATTTCATTATAGGTTCTAAGTGTATATAAATTCAGACATTGTAAGTGCTTTGCAGAGCTGTCTTTTTAATGGTATTTTAGTGTTTTCTGTGACTTGAATGTTTCTTAACAAATTCTCCTTGCTTTCAAATATGTATTTTGAGACTATGCCCACAAAGACTACTTAGACAAATCATGTTGTGTGTTCTGTTTTCTGCCGTATTTAGCACCTTTATTTCTATGAACAAACAAGGAGGACCCTCTGTTCTGTACAAAAGTTGTTAGCTATAGTGATAGTTTTTCTGTTCAGTATTGATAGAGTAGCTTTTTTCTTCCAAACTGTGGAAACATAATGCAACTTTATGGTTTTTTTTTAAACCTAGAGTTAACCGCTGTCACAGACAAATGGCAGAAATTGCTGTAAATGCTGTACTAACAGTAGCAGATATGGAACGTAAAGATGTTGATTTTGAGCTGATCAAAGTACAAGGCAAAGTGGGTGGTAGACTGGAAGATACACAGTTGGTTAAAGGAGTGATTGTGGATAAAGATTTCAGTCATCCACAGATGCCTAAAGTAAGTGATACCCCTGTTTGCGTCTTATCTGTAATCATCAAATAGGATTGTCTAGCTCACTTCAAATGCTGTCCTAGCATTTCTTAAGTATTTAAACAGTGCTGCAGTTTGGCTTGTTTTTTCAACCATATATCGACAGAGGAAGGGGAGAGGAGCATTACATTCTTTGTGTTGGAAGAGACCAAGGTAGAATTTTAGAGCAGTCTTGAGAAATGATGGCAGGACCGATCACTGTATGGCCAAGTGAGGACAGGTGCATAGTTCTATTTTGAAGCAGAAATAATCATCCATAATGTGTAATGTGCTTGAGATGCTTAATGCAACTTGGTATCAAGAAATGCTTCTTAAGCTTTATGAAGCTTCTTAAGCTTTGCCACATTGTCCTGTTTGGAACAGGAAGCTCTCCTTCTATTATATTTGGTGTAGGTAAGGTCTCCCAAGTCTTTTTGCAACATACTTCAAGAACGAAGGATGCAATTTTAAATTTTGACTATTCTAAAATATTTTTCTAGTAGTTGATACTGTTTATCCTAGAAAAAGGATGATACATAATATCAGTCGTGCATAAAAGGTGGCTGTGAAGATGAGTATGTAGTACTTCTAGTAGTCACAGTGGATTGGGCAAATAATAGTTTCACAGAGGATTTTTTCAATTTGTATTTTTTTAATGATAAAAAGACATTAGTGGTAGAGATGGTTATGGGCTTAAACAGTGTCTAAGCCGTGGAATTTGCTCTAGATGGGTTAGCGGCTTCTGAAAGAATTATTTACGTATAGTTAGTTTCAATTTAGAGTAAGTCAAATGATCCTTGAGTTTCCTCTTATCCCTGTGTTTTTATACGTCTGTATGTTTTGCAGATACAAGACAGAGGTGTTACTGAGGTCAAAACTCAACTTTTCTTTTTTTGTTATTCCATTTTGGGATTTTTTTTAATTTTACAGGAGCTTAAAGATGCTAAAATTGCAATCCTTACTTGTCCATTTGAACCACCTAAGCCTAAAACCAAGCATAAGCTTGATGTCACATCTGTGGAAGATTACAAGGCACTGCAGAAATATGAAAAGGAGAAGTTTGAAGAGATGGTGAAACAAGTAAGATTGTTCCTCTGTTTTCTACATTTTCCATGACTCTTACACAAAATAGCATAGTGCAGTGTTGTATTTCTGGAAATGAGCTAATAATCCTGATAGGAGGCAACATCCAAACAATAATAATAAAAGTTAAGGTGACATAAGAAAGACACCACACTAGTTTGAAATTAACTTTGAACTCTGTGTATGCCAAATAGTTCTTTTTTTTGACTTATTTTGAGAAAATGAGGAGAATTAAAATCATGAAGAGATTGTTTTTCTTTACTCTGTTAGTTCTGATCAGGAGATTGATGTTGTATGTTGCTTTCAGATAAAAGACACCGGTGCAAACCTTGCTATTTGCCAGTGGGGTTTTGATGATGAGGCAAATCACTTGCTGCTCCAGAATGAGCTGCCTGCTGTTCGTTGGGTTGGTGGAGCTGAAATAGAAGTAAGTAAAATATTCTACAATTCAGCTCTGTACCAGTTCTCAAACATTTCTTAAGTATCATGCTGTGCCAGTTAAAAGTTTGGGCTTTCTGGGTAGAACTGTGTAATTACGTGTATGGGTAGGTATTGGAAAAAAACTGTAGGGAATCTGTGGGAAGAAGCTACACTGAATGGGATTATGATTTATAGTGGGAGTGTATGCATATTGGCTAGGAATGTTTCTGCTTTTAGTCTTGCTCTTTGCAGAAACAAGACATTACCTGCAATACTTTGAAGTGATGGGAAGATAACCTTTTGGATTAGGCATTTGACAGTCTCTCCCACTAGTTTGTTATGAAAAAGGCAATTGAAAAGTCTTCTCAAAATAATTGATGGTTCTTTAACTTCAGTTAATCGCCATTGCAACTGGAGGCCGCATTGTTCCTCGCTTCTGTGAACTCACAGCAGAGAAACTGGGTTTTGCGGGTGTTGTCCGAGAGATCTCCTTTGGAACAACCAAGGACAGAATGCTTGTCATTGAAC